CCTTCAAACAATAGACAGTAGTAACAAGACTTGCTGAAGAATACAAACTTCTTTAAAATACTAGGCAAAGCATAACACGGACCTCGTTTTTCTTTTTTCTTTTTTTCCTTTTTGCTTATGTGAGATACATTAAAATGAATCAGAAAAGGTTATCCAGTTATTGTGACCTACCTAACATACCATTGCCAGGGGGAATAAAAATGAGTTTAATCTATTTGAAGGTATTTTCAATGAAGAGTTTTTTTTAGAAAAAAAAATTAACAGCTAGGCTGATAGCTTTGAATAATTATGCAGTTAATATATCAGAGACAGAGTCAGCATAATTTTTACAATATAATGATATGGCCATTAGAATTACAAGAATATGCCCAGCATACATATTTAAAAGAAAATTCAACACATTTGTTAAACTCCTTTGCTCTGCTCAGTGCCATTTATTGATGTGAAAATTGCCAAGACACCCATTTTATGGAGCAAAACAAGAATCAAGATGTACTACCTGAGATGTGATGCAAATAATGCAGTCAAATCAAGTGAAGGTCAGACTTTGTGTCCAAACAAAACAAGAATTAAATAGTGGAGCTGAAAGTCTTAATGTCTTTGTATTTCCTATTTTTACAGAAACATATGACTATGATCTGGGTTTCTGTGGCAACAGGCAGGAATGTTATCAGAGTCATGCTATAGATAAATGGCCCCTCATATATCTTATTTCTTATAATCATAGAAAGATACATATGAGAAATGATATTGTAGTCATAATTAAAGATCAAAGCAGGAACCGTATCACCAGCAGACTGCAGTCTCATCAGGACAGAAAATACTCATCAGAGCACTCATGTTCTGTAAAGAATAACCGGATGTTTATGGCTATTATTTACATATTCTATTTTGGTTGTTTTCATTGATTTCAGTACCAGTGCCTTTCAGAAACACTAGCAAAACTTGATGATGCCCATATTGAACCCCTATAATGGAATTAGAATTTATTTAAATACATTGTACTTTCTAACAAAAGATAGAGTAAGGTTCTCACTTTGCTTTTCATTTTCAAATTTAAGAATAAGCGAAATCTATTATATAAAAAAAGACATTGATTTAGGTTGTTATATCATTATAAGATTTGCTGGGATTTTTGCATTTTTAAAAAAGTATTGTGTTCAACTACAATTTTTTGAAATATTTATTTTTTTAGATGTAGATGGACACAACACAATGCCTTTATTTTTATGTGGTGCTGAGGATCAAACCCGGGTCCTGCCCATGCTAGGTGAGCACTCTACTGCTGAGCCACAATCCCAGCCCTGGATTTTTGCATTTTTATTCTTAATTAAATATACTATAAGTTTTGTATTTTTATTCTTAGTAAAATATGCTATAAAATTTATATTTTCAATAATAATCAAATTATTTCCTCTTCTTAATTTAAATTTTTCAAGCACAATTTAATTTGAAAAATTAATAATGATTACTATAGTAAAATATGAATTTACTATATAATGATTCTTTATTATAAAAAGTAATCATAGTAAACTCTGTATATAATAGTGTATATTGCTATTTTAATATTCTTCTTATCATCTTATTACATCAGGGAAGCCCAAAGATGATACTCTGAATTTTAAAACAGAGTAATTCCAAATGGTATCAAAATGTTATTATGATAATTAAGAAATTAAATATTTCAGGATTCACATTAACCTACTATAAAAGAATCTATATCAAAATTATTCACCTATTACAAATTCTAATATCATTATCTTTAGAAATTAGGAAGGTGGTATAAAATCAAATGGAAATTATTTTCAGCAAGGTGCTTGTAAATAGAGTATATTAGAAACTACATAGATAAAACCTCAAAAACCGTGACTATTCACCATATAGCCATTATATCATACAGATCTTTTTCAATGTTTTTTGAATCTTACCTTGAGAACAACCAAACAATATAACATAAAATGGGAAGCTGAATTGTCTTTCTTGACCTAAAGTACTCATGTCATTAATATTTCTAAAATAACACTATTTATTATATCCATATCAATTTTCTGTATTCAAGAATTGTGATATTATTGAAATGTATAACCTCAGATACCGGATTATTTGTGTGTGAACAAATATATTTAATAATATATTTAATAATATATTAAATTATATTTAATAATAACTAACTATTGTGGTGAGCCGTGTTTGTAGACCGTTGCCGCCATTAGAAGATGGCGCCGGTCTCCTTTGTGGATCTTGGTAAACAACTCCTTATTAGGGAAAGTTGGCGCGCTGTCCCTCAACACCCTATGAGAAAACCCCGCGTGGCAGCTTTTGATTGGACTTGAGTAAGCTTTATTAGGCTATGCTTGGGCGCTCGGCGGGGGGTCGCTAGAAGATGATACATGAAACAAGGCCTGAATAAACTGCTGAAAGAAGAATCCTGTGTCGTGTTTTCCCTTGCCGGCGAGGGGTCGCGACAAACTATTATTAAAAAGTGAAGTTAGTATTAAACAACTTGTTCTGGGTGGAAGCATACTGACAAAGATCCCTGTACCTGTTTTTCTAAAACCGTCTACAAATAATCACTTCAGTGTACTTTATTCATTAATTGGTCAGCCTTTTGCAGAGATCACCTTCCCCCCTAGTTCCAGAATCTTAGTTACTTTCCTAGTTAATAGCTTCAGGTTGTCCATTTTTAAAAATTGTTTTTGTTTTTTTTATCTTCTCCTACTTCCTTTGCCCAAAATAGTCTCCAGGATTAAGAATGTAAAACTTCCAGTTGTATTTTCAAATTATTTCAAGTCTATCTTGATCTATTGTATCTGAGACTGAAGATGAAATTATTTTAAACTTTTAAATGTTATCTTATTATTTCATATACTTAAATATTCCATTTTCTCCTAAAGTTGCTTATTTTATCCTTCAGAGAATTGTCTTTGGGACAAAAATGAAATAAAAAAGGAAGGAGTTCAGTGTTTCTACATTTTGGTGTGTGTGGTATTTCTTCAGCCTTCCTTTATACCTACACCTGAATAAAGAATTCTACCTTCTTCATGCTTCTTCCTGTGATAGCATGCATTCAGTCATTTTCTCTATTTATCTCACTAGGAATAATTTGAATGAAACTATTGGGAAATGAGTAGAGGAAGGAGACAGAGGAAGGGAGGAGGGCAGAAAAAGAGGTTCTGGGGAATTAAATTGACTGAATTCTGTTATGTGCATGTATGAATGTGTAACAATGAATCCCACGATAGTGAATAATTATAACATGCCAATAAAAAATTAATAAAAAAAATAAATTAATGGCACAACTTCATCAGGCTTGTAAACTGTGTATAGTTCTAAAATCATCACCATAAACAAGATATAGAACATTTCCACACTCCAGAAGGATTCTTCATACCCCTTTGAAATGCAAAGCTCCTTACACATCAGAACACAATCACCATTCTGCAAATGGTCACTATGGAATGGTGTGCAACATGTATCAACAAAATCAAATAACATGTACTCATTTTATGCATAGATACACAATTTTTTTGTTAATCAACTATATCTATTATTTTGTTGATAGGCATTTTAAGTATATTCAGTTTTGTACTATACTGAATAAAACGCTATAAAAGTCCTTGTGACTCATATTAGACATTGTAGGAATATTCAGGAATAAAATCATTAGATTTTGAGAGCAGTAACCTAATCAGTGGACCTATCCATTTGATGGATTGCTAATTTGTGTCCTTGTGACTTTTATATATTCTCATTTCTTTTTGGTAGTATTAAGGAATGGCAAGTTGAATCATACCATAAGCAAACGCATTTTAAAAAACAGTCAAATAGTATCCCAAAGTGGTTATATCATTTTATATTGCTACCAGCAGCATATGCAATCCAGTCATTTCAGATCTTAGCCTTATGTGCTAATGTAAGCTATTTTAACTTAAGTCATTGTAATAGGTAGATAGCAGCATTTAATTTGGTTTTAATTTGCATTTTCCTGAAGATTAATGACACTGAATATCTTTGCATGTACCTATTGGCCATTTTCATATATTCTTTTGTGAAAAACCTATTAAACTCATTTGCCCACATTTTTTGAAGAGGAAATTTTTCTTTTTATCTTTGAATTGTCAGAATTCCTTAAATATACTACATACAAGTCCTTTTTCATATATAAAATATTTTCTCTACAAAACTCCTGTTTTCATTTTGAAAATCTCTGATGAAGGGGATTTTGTTTTTTAATCTTGAAAAGTCAAATTTCTGTTTTCTCATGAATCATGCTTTTATTATCAGATCTAAGAATTTTTGTGTATTCCAAGATAATCTATATTTTTCTTTCTATTCTTTTCTCAAAGAGTTTTATATTTTAGATGTTCTGCTTAGAATTTAGGCTAATGTAGAGTCAGTTCTTCTGTATGATAAGAAACAAGATATGAAATTCCTGTTTCCCCTTATGAATAGTCTGCTTTTCTGATTTTCTATTCCCTCATGTATAACCTTAGCATTTTTTGAAAAGCAATTTATAATATGTATGTGGATCTAGTTCTAAACTATGATCTCTTTCACTATGGCTCTTCCTTTTCTACTATATTATACACGATTCTATTTCTGTTCTTCATTTCAAAAATCACTTCAGTGATTCTAAATTCTACGGAATTTTAAAATTAGGTTGTTGATTTCTACCAAAAATACTGTTCAATTTTTTATTGGTTTTGCAACAGTCAATTGAGGGAGAATTGACATCTAAAAAATATTGAGTCCTTCCACTCATGTCTGCAGTATTATCTCTATTTATGTATTGTTTCATTTCTCACATCAATATTTTATATGTGTCATCAAAAGAAACTTTTACACCTATTTTGTTAGACTTATCTCTAAGTATCTCATAATTTTTGGTTCTATTGTAAATAACGCTAAGGAGGAAGATATCTCCAAGGTCATCCCCAGGTTCAATGATTGGTAAAGAAGATTCACAGGACAGAACATATAGTTGTACTCATGACTAAGATTTATTACAACAAAAAGATATAAAGAAAATCAACATGTAATGGTTTCAATATGGGGTGTCTTCTAAAAGCTCATATTAGACATTGTAGGAATATTCAGGAATAAAATCATTAGATTTTGAGAGCAGTAACCTAATCAGTGGACCTATCCATTTGATGGATTGCTAATTTGAAAGCACTACTGTACTGAGTAGTCACCATAGGTAGGTAGGATGTGGCTGAAGGAAGTAGGTCACTGAGGATATGTCTTTGTGGATTTTGAATCTTATCTCTGGCTCCTTTCTCTTCTCTTCTCTTCTCTTCTCTTCTCTTCTCTTCTCTTCTCTTCCCTTCTCTTCCCTTCTCTTCTCTTCCCTCTTTTTCCTTTTGTCCCTCCTTCCCTCCCTCCCTCTTTCCTGGATTCCATGATTTAAGTAGTTTTCTTCCTCTATGTCCTCTACCATGAGGTACTGTCTCACCTTGGGCCCAGAGCAATGGGGTCAGTTGACCTTGCACTGACCCTCAGAAACAGTGATCCCAAGATAAATTTTTACTCTTCTAAGTTGTTCTTGTCAGGTATTTTGTTCACAATGACAGAGAGCTTACTAAGATGTAGGCAAGGAAAAGGCACATGGGGTAAGTCTAAAGAAAACCTTCTCCTGATGGAATCACACAGAATATGCTTAATCCCTCCACCAAGAAGTCCTGAGACCAGGTATGAAATGTTCTTTCAGGAAAGCTTAGTAGAGATCAAATACCTAAGGCTCTTATTGGGAGTGGGTCTTGTAGGCACTCTGCCTAGTGTGTACCAAAGTTCTGCAGGTATTCACCACAAATCATATTGCTTTCATGAGGAGGTTTGGCTCTTTGACCCATTTTTATCAAAGACTGAGGGGAACCTTCCTGAAATTCAGCTCTCCAAAATTTAAATAAAGGCCATACTTGCAAGCAGACTTTTCTAAGGATAAGTCTCAAGATTGTTGCATTTATTCTTTTGTGCACGTGTACTTAATTTTTGTATTTTAATTTTTCACAACTAGTATGTAGAAATATAATAAATCTTTATTTACTATTGACATCTTGCAACTATGTTCGACTCACCTATTAGTTCTGATTGTTTTTATAGATTCCGTGGATTTTCCATGTGAACATGCATGTCATATGTGGATAATGACAACCATATTTCTTCCATTCAGATCTATTTACCACTTTAATTCTTTGTCTTACAACATCATATTGACTAGGACTCAGGGTGAAATTCAATAGGAATAGTAAGAACAAATAATCTTGCCTCCTTGCTCATCTTAGAGTAACAGATTCTCTTGTCACTATTAAATGTAATGCCAGATATAGAGTTTTTGTAGATGTAGTTTTTCAGTTGAGGAAGTTTACATCTATCTCCAGTTTACTAAGAATTTTATTCAGTAATATGCATTGGATTTTATCAATAATTTGTCTTTATCTATCGTGATAATATCTGTAGTTTTTTTTTTCTTCTTCTTCCTTCAGTTGATAGGTTGAATTTACATTTGAATGTTGAGCCAGTCCTACTTTCTCAAGTTAATTCTATTTGATCACTGTTGACCAGTTTTCTGGTGCTATGACAAAATACCTAAAAAAAAAAAAAAAAAAAAACTTAAAGGAAGAAAGATTTATTTGCTTATGGCTTTGGAGGTTTCAGTCCATAATCAGTTGGCTCTATTGTTTTTAGGCCTATGGTGAGGCAGAAAAACATGGCAGAGACTGAGCGGCAGAGTGATCCCAATATCTGCTTAGAGCATACCTCCAATGACCCAATGTCCATCCAGTAGACCCCACCTCCTCAAAGTTCCACCACCTTCCAGTAAGGCAACCAAACCTTTAACTCATGAGTTTTTTTTGGGGGGGTGGGGGGTGGGGGGAAGGTCTGTTGAGACCCAATGTAGTCAAAATATATTACCTTTTCAAATATTGCTGGATTAGATTGGCTAATATTTTGTTAAATGTTCTGCATCTGTATGTATGAAATTTAATGGCATATAGTTAATTAAGACCAGAAGTAACATTTGTTCTGTTGCTGTTTATGTCCCACTATTGAAGCCAAACACTTCTGAGGACCATCCCCAGTGACCAATAAGTTATGAGGTTTTTCAATCTGGCTGGTGGCAATACTCATTTTCCCCAGCTCTCGCAGAAACAGATGCTATTCCCTCTAAGCATTTTAAGTGATTCTTTCCCTAGTGTCTGGTAGTTTTCTTACACATATACACTGATCAGTACATAGCTAGGTACTGAAGGCAGATCCTCCACAGGTCTCTGGAGTTTTTTCCCTGCAACTTTCTCTTCTCCAGTACTCTCTCTTGCAAACTCTAGTCTCTTTGATCTTCTGACCCACAGCTTTATCTCCTTAACTCAGGGAGCCCACTAGATTCTGCTTGCCTAAACTCTCCTTGCATATTTCCCAGAAATTTAGGACAATCAGCTGTGGCAATCAGAGAACTCCAATTAGAGGGCTCAACTTGGCTGGATCCAATCTCTCAAGGATCATCATTTAGGGCCTCGTGTTGAGTGCCTAAATAAACATTATTTTACATATTGTGTGCCACTTTCTTAGTTGCTCTGGTGTGCAGATATATCCTAACTGTGTTTCTATACCTTGGCCTAAAGCAGAAGTCACAGTGTATTTTTTTATGTCTGTTTTCAAATCAACCTAAACCATGCTTTCGTTTTCACAAGATTCAATATTGAGAGTGCATTTCAGAGCTTGAATTCCTACAATTACGTGAAGTTCTATTTTTCAAATAAAAAATATCTATGTAGATGCAAAATATATGATTTCACTGATTCACCTGCTCTCATTTTCTATTTGGTAGAGAGTAGTCTTTTATTTTTCTAGTTTCAACATAAATATTGAGTTAATTGTTCTCCCAGGCCAGTTAAGATTAACTATTTAAGAAACTCTTGAATTATATAAAAGATGTCTAATTCAAGTGGGTTGATATATATCTTTGATGAAAGCACCAATTTTTTTTTTTTTACTATAAGTGGGTGTACTCATTAGGATGTGATGATCTGCATGAAATACTTCAACTAAATTAGTGGAAAGTTATTATCTATAGTTCTAACTCTTATATGTGCTATTCATGCTAGTTAATTATATTTTTGAGGAAAATTATATTTCCACTATTATATAGACATTGCCCCTAGAATTCTTAGTAAGATAAAATCTGGAAACATTGTATAAGGAGAAAGAAACATTAGCCAGATAAAGAAACATTAACCAGATCATAAGTTTCATTTAGAAGAAGGTAATATTGGCAGTATATACTTTTTCTAAATTAAACAGCAAAACATAGAAAGGCTCAAAGAGTACTTGTGGGCACCAAAATGGACTTTTTGAATGCTCTGACCAAAAAAATAGATGAATGTGTAATATAAAAATAAAATTTTGTAGAAACGGTCCTAAATGTCATTTTCAGACCAAATCAGTAGCTCTGCCCTAAACCTTGGTTTACGCCTGTAACTAGTCAGTATTACTTAGCCACTTTAAAAATGCATAGCTCACTTCTACTTGTGCAATTTACATATCAACTCATTGCCATACTTCTTTGATGAAATACAAATATCAAGATTTTCATTTCCAATAGTATGCCAGACTACTTCAGAAGATATCTTAAAATGTTTCACAAAATATTTTTCTTGCATTGGATATGCACCTCTGGCTCAGAATAATAAATGGGGTGTCTAAATAATTTTTGTGTGCTTTCCTCATATAGCAGAGATCATTAAATTATGAAAAGAATCCATTTTTATAATCTAGAGAATTATATGGCTTACCCAACCTTCTACAGGAATCTGTGCTCTACAGTTTCTGGAGCTAATTAATCTTTTAACTAAGAATATCCTCCTAACAGCATTTATGGATCAGGTCTCTTCCTTGGAGAATATATCATTCAACCATTTACTTAAGTGTCTGTTGACAAGGGGGTTAACTGGGTCACTTTCTTTCTCTCCTGTCCCTGGCAGTACTGCTCATTCCTCATCAAGAAAGCAAAAAGAATCATAAGGCAGCTGTTTACTTACTAAAATGCAGGTACAGTAGAGGAATATGCAACAGAGTTTTCAATCTTTGAAGTAGGTACAGCAGAGCATTTTAAAGTGTGTTTATACTTATAATTTTAATGAATAAATAGACTGTTCCATGTGCCTATACAACTAATTCTCGGAAAAAGCAGATGTCAGGTAAATGTGGCCTCCACTTCTCTGTGGCCCTAAACATGGTGTACTCAACTGTTCCACAAATGTACAAAAGACTTTCCCAAATTCTCAAACACTTAAAAATATTTAAATCCTCTTCCAGATATTTTTGTATGAAAGGAGATCTGCATACATCTGACTAATGACAAATGAATATCATATTTTAACCTGAGATCTCAGTTGAATTCCCCAACACCTTACACCTCAATCTGCACCTGGGATTTTTTCCCCAGTTTCCCAATATCTTATTCCTATCTAATTATGACTGCTGAAAATTTATTCAGACAATTTTCATACTCTTTGAAGCTTATTTTCCATGACTAAATTCAGCAAATTTTAGTTAAGAAACAATTAGGTACATTGTAAGGAAGAGATGTGGCGTTATATTCGAGAAGTGCAGGCAGAATCTAAATAAAAAATGAAGGTTTTCCCCAAATCCAGGTTTTATGGGGATCTAGGAATTGCAATATCAATCTAGAGATTAAAGAAAGCTTTACAGAAAAGGAAAACATAAGGTAAACTTTAATGAGTAAGTGATATTTTGACAGGAAGTGGACAACAGAATTTCAGTCAGATCTAGGCACACCTCTGAATGAATAACCCTGCAAGTGCTGGGTGTGATGAGGGGTTTTGGTGTGGGAAACAAAGTTTTAAAAGGTTGAGTTAATGGTGAATCATGAGTGTCAGCCTAAAAGTTTGGGTTTTATTTGATAGGTTACATATATTCACTAATGTATCCTGGGTGAGATAAGCTTTCATCAGACATTAGAATTTTTGTATAAAGAAGGGGAAAAAATGTTAAAATAGCATTTGTTGAGTGCCAATTGTTTTCATTGGCATTTCCACATGTTCTGACACATTTACTTCTGGCCCTTATTCTATGTTGGATGTATGATATATGATTTACATTTGTGGGAATAGTACTCATAAATGTTTTATACTGTGCTCCAAGTAACACAAGCAGTAGGTAGATGGTGGTGAAATTGGAACCTACAGCCATGAAAATTTTGAGGAAACTCTGATGGCAATTTAGGGAAGAAATGAGGAGAGTTACAACCAGGGCAACTGTAGTGAGAAATTTAAGAAGGTGAAAGATTTTCAAGAGTTTCATTGATAACATTTGGGGAACAAGGACCAGTCATTAGGCACTAAAATATCACTCATGTCTTTATTGTGGTTGTTCCAAGTAATACAGAAACCCAGGTTGTTCTGGAAAGCCAGCTATGAAAAGTCCCCATTGTTGTTAACCACGTTATGTAACTTCTTTGAATCGATCTGGAATAGTCATGAGGACAGGGCAATATTCACAGTCTGGAGCACTGTGTCTTTCTAACAGTTGACACTTAGTATGCTAAATTGTTACAAAACAATGCAGGATCACTCATTTATTTTCCATCACCCATCCAGGGGAAGATGAATTGCAGCAATGCAACCACAAGTCTAGTTAGCCACTCACATCAGTTCCATGACAACACCAAAATCCACAGATAATACATCATGCATTCATCTATTTATTGATTGTTTGAACTTACATTGTAGATAATCTGAAAAAAATACCATGTAGGAATGGGAAAGGAAATTATAAATCTCAAAGTAGAGGAAGGCCTGATAAATGTTGGATCCAAGATTGTGGGTGGGAACTGAAGCTAAAATGAGAGTCTCCTACTTTCTACCTAAATTTATATTTGTCCGTGAGGTACCCACTCACACCTATTAGAATGTCTTTTAACAAGAAGATGAAAGAAAGAAAATGTTGGAAAGCATGTGGAGAAAGGGGAATGCGTACACACAATGGCAATGTACGTTACTGTAGTCATTATTGAAAATGCTTTCAACATTTCTCAAAATATTAAAATTAAGAAACTACCTTGTGACTCAGTAATCCCATACTGGATATATATCCAAAGGGTAAAAAGTTTCAGTTGAGCCGGGAAAAAAAATTTCAAAAATCTATTGTTTGTTATGGTGAGACAATAATAATAATATTAATCTATACTTAAAAATTACTTGGAAAATAGACTTTAAATATTCTCTCCATGAAAAAGAAATATGTAAGTTGATGGATGTATTTATTATCTTGATTTAATTATTTCACTATGTAGTCAAGCATCAAAAATCACATTGTATTCCATAAATACATACATTTTTATTTGTCAATTAAAAATAAATTTAAAAATTGTGCATACATCTGTGTGTAGAGTTGTGTGCACAGTACAGACTTTCATACACCAAGCTCACTGTAAATCAATTTGTTAAAAATTATAGAGAGAAGGAGAGAAATAGTAAATATCCTTTCTCACCAAATAGACCTTGCCCATGAAATGTCACCACATAAATGCAGAGACAGAATCAAACCTATTCAGCCTGAGCCAAGAG